CCGGCGGGCGGGACCCGGGCCGGGCGGGGCCGGGCGGGGCGGGACCCTGGAGGCCCCGCCTGTGCGCCTCGCTCCCAGTCCCCGCCAGTCCTCCGCGCCTCTAGCCGCGGAGTTGGGGTGGCTGCGGGAAGCCTAGCGGAGTGGGGATCGCCGCACCCGCCGGGCCTCGCCACCCACCGTCCCCTCGCAGCGTGGTCCGAGCCTCAGTTTCCCCTTGCTGAGATAGAGACAGTCACCGCATCTGCCTCCAAAGTGCCGCCTGTGCGCCTCGCTCCCAGTCCCCGCCAGTCCTCCGCGCCTCTAGCCGCGGAGTTGGGGTGGCTGCGGGAAGCCTAGCGGAGTGGGGATCGCCGCACCCGCCGGGCCTCGCCACCCACCGTCCCCTCGCAGCGTGGTCCGAGCCTCAGTTTCCCCTTGCTGAGATAGAGACAGTCACCGCATCTGCCTCCAAAGTGGTTTGAAGACTGAATAGGGAGATCCTGCGGAGCCTGGATGCGGGAAGCTGTCAGCACCCGGCCGGTTCTGGGGCGACTGAGGCTCCCCAGGCCTCGGGAGAACCCGAGCGCGGAGGGCTGCTGTGTACCGGTCCGGACCCCTTCTTCCCCCGGCAGCTGGGAGGGGCGCTGCTGCCCAGGCTCGCTCGCCTTGAGCTTGGTGGACACAGGGCAGGGGAAGATGGGGACCAACCCCTGTCTTAAATGGTAACCACACCACACCTGTCCTGAAAAGAGCTCTTCGCGTCGTGTGGCGGTGTTTTGGGGGCCTAGAACAGCATCTGACACGTAGTAGGTACTCTATATATTGCTGAGCAAATAAAAACATACGTGAACTACACATGTATTATTACATTTGAGCTTACAACCCTCTTCAATTTAGTCACTATTAATACTCCCCTTTCATAGATAAAAAAATCAAGACAGAGTGGCTAAGTACTTGGTGGTCTCTATTATTGTATGTATGTATGTGTGGTGCTGAGATTGAACCCAGGGCCTTGTACATGCCAGGTGAGTGCTCTACCATGGAGCTACAACATCAGCCCCCATTTCTTTTTTTTTTTTTTATAAAAAATGTTTCTTTAAGCTTTTATATTTTATTTCTTTGTATTTTATATGTAGGAGTTTTAAAAAATATTTTATTTATTGTTATTTTATGTGTATGTGTGTATTGCCTGCATGTAGGTAAGTGTACCCGTGTCAGGCATGCAATACCTGAGGAGGACAGAAGAGGCTGTTCCCCTGGAACTGGAGTTACAGACAATTGTTAGCTGCCATGTAGGTGCTGGGATTCAAACCTGGGTCTTCTGCAAGAACAACCAGTGTTCTTAACCACTGAGCCATCTCTCCAGCCCTGTAGGAGTGTTTTTGTCTACATGTATGTAAGTGCACCACCTGTTTACAGTATCCATAGACACCAGAAGAGGGCATTACCAATGGAATTACCAATGGTTGTTAGCTGCCATGTGGGTGCTGGGAACCAAATCCAAGGCCTCTGCAAGAGCAGTCAGTGCTCTTAACCTAGGAGCCATCTCTCCAGCTCCTCTTTTTTTTTTTTTTTTCTGAGACAAGCTTTCACTAAGCTGCCTAGGTTGGCCTTGAATTTGCCATCTTCCTGCCTCAGCCTCTAGAATAGCTGGGATTGTAGCCAGGTACCATGACCCTTCATCTTTATGAACTCATGATCATTTTTGAACAAAGCTAAAGTCTGCCACTGGGCTCTGATTCACAGTTCCATGCTCCTGGCCAGAATTGGCAGGGTTGCCTATAACAAAGCCTCCCCTGCAGTCCCAAACTGGGCCTTTCAGAGCTGAGATGTCAGAGGCAGACAGGGCACATGAGGTGTGGGCATGCAGCGTTGGATTTTTGCATTTATGGGGTCATGGTTTTTTTAAAAATATTTTTTACCAGTGTGTGGACACATGGATGCCACAGCTCCTGCAGAGGTCAGAGGACAACTTTCAGAGTTGGTTCTTTCCTTCCACCTGTTCAGGCAGAATCCCTTGTTTCTACCATCCTGTGCATTCCAGGCTAGCTGGCCCTTGAGCACCTGGACAAGTCTCCTCCCTCCCATTTCCCCTAGGAGAGCTGCATCCAGCTTTTATTACATCGGGAAATAGAACTCAGGTTGTCAGGCCTTCCTGGCAAGTGCTTTTACTCACTGCTTTTAAACTGGTCTTAAACTCCCTATGTAACTAAGGATGGCTTTGCCCTCATCCTCCTCTCTCCATCTTCCAAGAACTGCAATTACAGGTTTTTATCATCATGCTGGGCCCACCAAAGTGTTTTCTGACTTACAGGGGAGTTGATATATCTTTCCCAGGCTAAGGCATCTGAATATTCCAACCCACTTAAGGCTTGTGCCCCTCTTGAAATGCCACTCCCTTCATACCCCTGAGCTTTTGCTCACATTATCCCCTCTGTTGGAAGACTTCTAGAATCATTTGTGTAAGGCACTCTTGCTCATGGGGCCAGACCTTCCAATCTCTCTTCCCAAGTGGCTTGTGAGCTTGCCCTCCTAGCTTTAGGCTGCATGGTTGGTGGCTGGGACTGTCTTGGGAAAGGCCTAAGGAGCCCTAGGATCTCCCAGGGGTTGCTGTGTGTGTGTATTTCTTGTCCCCTCATTCTAATCAACTCCAAGTATGGATGGCTGTTCCTGACTCCTGAATTACACATTATGGGGAAACGGATGCCTGAACAGGGCCATGATCCACAAGGGACACCACATAGCATGGCTCCATCCTGCAGCTCCATTCGAATGGCCCTAAGTGCTGCCCAGGCCAAGCCAGGAGGCCTCACTACTCTTCCTTCCCAGGGTGCCACGTGGCCAGCTTTGTTTTCTCTGCCACACAGTCAGCAGCTTGTTAGGGACCAGTATGTATGAGTATTTGCGTGTGTGTTTTCTTGATCTACTTGCCCCATACGGAGCTTCCTGTGCAGTGTGGCTGTACTGATGAGGTAGCTGAGAGAGAAGACAGCCCCTAGGGTGGGGGAGACTCTGCTTGGGGATGCAAGCTTGAACCAGGGCATTCTGGAACTGTGCCCCTCCCACCTGGGGCTGTGAGGTTTATCAGCTCCCCAGGCCCTTCCTTCAACCTTGTTCTGGATAGGAAAGTGTGGCTGTGGGATCAGATCTTCCAGCCTAGAAAGTAGTGGTCCCTGGGGAAGGGGCAACAGCTGTGGTACGTACGAACCAGGAACCTGAAACTGGAGGTAGGCCCCAGACCCCTCGGGAGTGGGGCAGGCTCTATCCCAGTAGCAAGCCGGGACATTCTCAGACTGGGGCCATCCTGCTATGCATCCATGTCAGGTGGTGCCCTGCACCCCTTGATCGGCTCCAAAGGGGGTGCCACTACAATTCCATTTCAATGATTCAGACGCTTTTCTTCCATTTCCCTTTTATTTGTCTGTTTTTGAGACACAGGTTGTGCTGGGATTAGAAGTACGCACCACCACACCTGGCCCCATTTTCCTCTGCCTAGAGCTAGCCCCAGGTATGTACCCACAGGCAGGCACAGGTCAGGCCTGTCTCCCCTGATGTGTGACACTGGAATTCATTAATCTCTCCATGCCCTGTCACCTGAGCTTGACCTGGGTGAGGCAGCTTGCAGGACAGGGAGTTCTCATTCCGCCTCCTCCTTCAGGACTGGAGGAGGCAATTAATCCTAGAACTCCCCTGCTCTCCCAGCTTTATCAGAGTACCATGGCCCCAAAGGCCAAGGCCCAGGAACACTATTTGAACAGAAGTTACTCAGGATTGTAAGGCGCAGAGGTGGCAGAGCTGGTCTGGCCCCCTGGGATGGAACACAGGCATATGGATAAAGCCCTCCTCTGTGGGGAGAAGAGGGGCAGGGAGGGGGCATAATGGGAAGAGGAAAATGGCCTGAGAGAGAAGTGAGGCTGTAGTTTGGAGAAGAAGGGGAGAAGCAGGAGGAGGAAGTGCAGAGAAGGGGAGGAGAAGGGCAGAAGGTGCTGTTTATCTAGCAGTTTCTGTGCACACTGCTTGACCTGTTTTTGGCTTTTTGGTGGTGGTTTCCAGGGGAACCAGGCATCACTGGCTATGTCTCTTTCAGGCAAAGCCACTCACTGTCTTGGGTGCACTGACTGTGCCAGGCCCCAGTATAATCTTTCACCCTCTTGCATGTCCCAAAGGCTGTCTTATCACTTGGTGACCCACCTTAGGGTTATTGCTCCTAGTCCGTTAGGGTACAGCCAGGACCCAAGACTATCTCCTCCTTTCTCTTCCCCTTCATGGAAACTGGTGGTAAAAAGGCTTCAGCGGAGGCAGGCAGGCAGGCAAGCCCTGCTGACAGGGACAGTGAGGCCCCAGGCCCCAGCCTGTGTACATGTGGGAGGTACTCAGTGGGTACCCCGTGTGCCAAGCCCTCAGGTTTACACCATGGCTTGCAAGAGGTGTTGCCAGGGCCTGCACTGCAATGGGTGTGGCTCCTGCCTAGGCGGGAGCCTCCATAAATCTGGGGGCTTCCAGAGCAGCCTCCAGAAAGACCCCCTGACCTCAGAGAGCCATGTTCTCCTGGCAGTCACAGATTTGCCCGGGCCACTTGTACAACCTTAAGCCTTCTGCCCTGGGTAGAGGACAATACTCAGGAGGGGTGGTCCTGTCTGCTGAAAAGGATCTGGAAGGTCATGACTTAGGCTGTGCCATAAAGCTGAATTCAGTGTGCTCTGCAGAGCCACATGGGCCTTAGTCCTGACCTTCCAACCTCACCGTGCTGGCCCTACATGACAGGGGCACATCAGAATGGATGCCTGTTGTCCAGTCCCTACTGAGTTCCTTAGAGTGGCAGGAAGGGGTTTCCCCTGGGAATTCCCCAATGGGCTATGAGCATCAGGGAGATTATAGGCATAAGGCTCTGGAAATGGTCCCTATGGAGGGTGGCCAGTCAAATAGATTCAACTGGCACTTCAAAGGGGTTGCTGCCTTGAGAGAGATAGATGCCTTGTAAATGCAGGCCTTGAACCTGGGGTGCCACAAGGTTGGTGACCAAGGCCCTTAGCCAGAAGGTACCAAGTGGGGGTATGCCTTACACCTGGCCCGCCCAAAACACTTGTAATGGAGAATGCTTATGTCCCAAAGATGGAGAGCCATCAGTCATATAGATGTGCTTTTATGGAGATACTCCTCAGACAGTTGGATCAGAAGGTCAAGGACAGCCTCAGCTACATAGTATGTTTGAGGCCAGCCTGAGCTCCATGAGACCCTGTCTCAAAAAAACCAAACCAAAACAAAAATCAAACAGCTATACCTCAGAGACTATTCCAAGTGTCCCTATGAAGAGTGCACTCTTGCCTGCCTGCATGGTGAAGTATTCTGTGGGGCTGTGAGACAGGCTGGCAACCCTGGGTGAGTGTCCAGAGGAGGGATCCCAACCAGTGGTGTCACGACAGTGTCCAGATGGGAAACTGAGGCCCAGGGAAGGGAAGGGCCTTATATAGGGTTATACAGACCCCTGGCCTACACCTGAGTTCTGTGCACCTGCCAGCAAGGGTAAGAAAGGCTTTAAGGAGCAGAGTGACAGGTCACCCATCTCCTTCCCCTTCATCCTCGCTGATGCAGCCTTCCGGCACTGCTCTGCCCCTGGATGCCCGTCTCTCCAAGTACTCAGCCTTCAGGCGCTCCAGCTCCCATAGCTCAGTCTCTAGTCGCTCCCGGTGGGCTGCACGCAGCTGCCGCAGCTGCTTCATGGGAAAGGGGTTCATGTCGTTGAAGGCGATGCTCATTAGCTTCCTGGGAGGAGGGTGCAGTCAGCTGGAGTACGGAGCACAGCACCCAGCCAGTGCCAGCCTGGGTGTACAGGGCCTGTCTTGACACCTTTCTACCCCAGGGTGGAGCCCTGGCCCTGCCTTCAGGAGCTCACCTTCCTGGGAGGAAAAGATCTCCACCCAGAGATTAGAACTGAGGCAGGAGGGAGAACCCAAGGGCACCTAACCACCCAACCCAGTAGGGAAGGACAGGTTAAAAAGGCTTCCTGGAGGGGGGACATGGGACCTGAGCTTTGAAGGACAGTGGACCAGGCCGAAGATGGTGGTGGCAGTAGAGAAAGTGATCAGGAGGCATTCTACACAGGAGAAACTGAGCGTAAAGATGGCAGTGGAGCCAGGCGTGGTGGCGCACGCCTTTAATCCCAGCACTCAGGAGGCAGAGGCAGGTGGATCTTTGTGAGTTCAAGGCCAGCCTGCTCTCCATAGTAAATCCAGGACAGCTAGGGCTACAGGGAGACCCTGTCTCAAAAAGACCAAAAAAAAAAAAAAAAAAAAATGGCAGTGGGGTGTTCTACGTCCTGGGTGTTGGTGGCAGGGGAAGGTAGGCTGGGGAACTTGAATGTCATGTGAGGTTCAGATGAGCTGTAGAGACAGAATGGCCCTGGGGGCTCCTAAGCTGTGAGGGAACAGCATGGGGTGGAGGCAGCAGCAGGGCAAGGCGGGCTCACCGGCTGTCACAGATGGTCCTGGTGAAGAAGCGCAGATACTGGTAGATCTCCAGGCTGTCCTGCAGCCGCAGGATCTCCTCCTCGTTGTACTTGAAGATAGCCAGAGCGTATCGGAACACCACCTGGGCACAGTTGGGGCTCAGGTGGGGGCCGACAGGTTCTATCCAGGGAGGGAAAGCCTAGAAACCCTAGCAACAGGGAGGTCCCTGGTGGGCCACAAAGTGGAAGCATGGAGGCACAAAGTGTGGGGGGGCCTCCTGAGGACTACAATGGGAGCACAGCTTGAAACTCAGGCCTTTAGCTGACTCAGCTCTAGCCCTGATCACTCCACTACAAGGTACAACAAGGTACTGCCTTGCTAGAGTCAAGGGTGCTGGTCCCAGGTGTCTTTGCATTTGGTGAGTGTGGGGGCTGACTAGGATCTCCTGACAAGGTCACAGCAGACCCAAGCGTCAGCCTGCCAAGCTGCAGGGTGCATCTTCAGAGGCAAGACCACTGCTTCCTCTCATATCGCACAGAGCACTTCACAGTTTACAAAGCTGTGCTCTCAGCTGTACCCGATGGTCCTGACAGCTGTCAGTCTCTTGTTCTGCAGGGGCAGAATGGAGGGTCTGGCTGGGCAGCTGGGCCCTGTCCTACCCACCTTTGTCCCTTCGTACAGGAAGGCATCCCAGACCCGAAGTAGGATGTCACTGATGAGAGAGTCAGCAAAGACCACGAGGAACCAGTTGAAGGTGATGAGAGAGAGGTCCACGTGGTGTTGTCCCAGGTGTGCCATCAGTCGGGGCAGCTTCTCCGAGAGGAGGTCCTGGAGTACCCGCTGATCCACCTGGAAGTGGCAAAGGCCTGTGACCTCTGCTGCCTCCCTTTGTGCCCTCCCTTCGCACCCTGTCAGGCTACATGCCTAGAGCTGCTGGGTGCACCTGGGTGCAGTGACACATCAGCACAGCACCTGTCACAAGCCAGTCACCTAGGGAGAGCACTGGGCTTCACAGCAGGTCTTTTCATGGGCAAGTCCTCAGGCCTTAACCCAGCCAGTGCCCCTAGCTGTTTGAGGAAACTGGTCTTGTGCTCACAGGCCTGGAAAAATGGGAGCTTCTCTAGGCTGCTTCTTTGTACCCATGTCAGCCTGACCCTTAAGATGCTTGGACACTTGGGATAAGGCCCAGGACAGACACTGACAGGGAGCCACAGTGCCCTGCCACACTGGAGAGCATGAATTGCTTCAAAGTGAGATACCGCAGGCCACTGCTGCCACCTCTCCTGGTGGCTTCAGTGTGCCTGTCCTTGTTTCAGCGGACATGGCTGATGACTCCCTGGTCTGTCCCCTCTCCTCTGCAGCATCCAGGTTTTGTCCCCTTGTGCCCTTCCTTGCCTGGAGCCATGACTGCTCAGCTTCTCCCTGATGCAAGTCCTTTCATGTTTCAGTACTGTGGTCAGCACCCCTCCCTCCCTCACTCAAAGGGGGCAGCAGTGGAGGCTGTGGCCAGCTCAAAGCTCCAGGAGATCCACTGGATCTGTGATGCATCCAGCTATGGAAGGGTTCATGGGTGAGCCGCTGGCAATCTATACGAGGAAAGTCAAGGCAGGAGATAGCCCTGGCTTCCCTAGGCTGATAACCAGAGACACTAGGTGTGGAACAGGGAGGTACTGCATACCATTTTCTGAACTATTTTGAATGTGGCAAATTCTCTATGATTCAAAGAAAACAGAAAGTGAGCTTGATACCGGTGGTCAATGCACCTTTGTTTCAGAGATACCAAGGTTCAGAAGTGCAGTATGGCATTCCCCAGCCTGCCCTGCAGCCAGGGGCATCCCCAAGATGCAGTTCTGACTATAAGATTTAAGTAGAAACTGCGGACTGGAGGAGCCAGCTCCTACCTTTCTCTGCTTCTCCTGGCCTAGGCCAGGGCCACAGCACAGAGGGTGGTACAGCCTCCCTTGTGACCATGAGGTAACAAACATGGGGATGGCAGAGCAGGGAGCTCTGATGGCATCATGGACCAAGTATACTTTCAGGCCCCTTACCTTCCCTGAGGACAGATGCAGCACCCTCACGCCCCAGCATTCTGGGTTCTGAGCTGACTCTCTCCTTGTAGCTGTGTCTAATCCCTGCCACCAAGAGAGTACCCAGGAGGAGGGATGGGTATCAAACATGGCGGTAGGCGTGAAGCGGGGCAAGAGGACACACATCAAGAGTCTGGGAGGTGGGAGGACAGAGTCTCTGCGAGGCAGAAGGGCTGCCTCAGTAAGAATGGGGGTTATCTGGAAATGCCACAAAGTGACCTTATTACTATTCCAGAATGGGTCAGCATGGGGTTCAGAAAGGTGATGACAGGTGTCGAGGTCACACAGCCAAAGGGCCATAAACTCTGCTCTTTTTGGTTCCAGGGCAACAGAGCGACAGCAACACTTCCTAGAGAGGCCTAACTAAACACGTGCAGGGACTGTTGTCATCACCCCAGCCCATCACTCATCCCCTAGACCTGTAGTCTCAATTCTTGATAGGCAAATGACAGGGGACATTGATTTCCTCCTCCCTCCCCAGGAAGTAACTGTTTCCACTGGCATGACAAAACCTCTGGAATAACACCCCAGGACCCTACAATTCTACAGGCCCTCAGCTAACCTGGACCTCCAGAAGTCAGAGAGGTGACTATGTAGGAAAGCTGGAGGCCCAGGATCCGCTGGTCTGCAGGAGCTCCTCAGGGGCAGTGTCCCACACAGCCACTGTGTGCCACTTGCTTCCTGCTCACCTGGGATGCAGTTAATGTCTTGCTGTAGTACTCGGCTGGCAGGATGTTCTCCACAATGGCTACCAGGCACCAGAAGGCACTCTCCTCATCCTCTAGGACCAACAGGGCGATGGCTGCCAGCCTGCAGAGGAGGGAGAGGTCTGGAGTGACCCACAGTTGCAGCACTGTACAGTAGAAGTAGCTCCCTGCATCCCAGGGGTGAGTCCTCCCACATGGCACTGGCCCAGCCCCATTCCCTATCCAGGCTGGTGTCTCATCTGGGGTGAGACAATGATTGGGGAAAAATGACCATAGTGATTTTCAGAGGACCAATTCAGAACAGGGGCTCTGGGGCTGAGGGGTAAATGGGTGTGAAACAAGGGTAAAATATTTGAGCTCTCTGAGCCTCAGCTTCATATTCATATTCATCACAGGGCTTCATGAGGACCAAGTCAGCACATTTGGTGCCAGCCTGGTTCACGGCATGTATGGCCCTTGTAAACGCTGTCTGTCTTCACCTTCATATTGGCTAGCTTTCAGAGTCTCTCAGGAACACTTCCCACCTCTCAGTGCTGTGTGACCACAAGTGAGAGCAGACCTCAGTGCCATGCTCACTGGTATACCCCTGTGCTGTGCACCCTCACCCAGTTATGAGGATCCGCTGAGATCAGGAGCAACGAAGACCCAACCCCCAGCGCTGAGCAGGGACATCTGCTTCTCCCATATTCCCTGATGGGTTGCATCCAGGGCCAAACCAAGAAGACATTTCCCAGCATATCTTCCATGGGCCCTGGTACCCATGATGCTAGATAAACACAAGGTCCCGTAGGCAGGCATTCAGGAAACACTGCCCATTCCAGCCCCTCTGGGAAGCTCACAGTGCTCAGTCTCAGCAAAGCCTCTAGGACATCCTGTAGAAACAGGCCTCTGTGAGACTCTGATGCAGAGGGGTCCTGGGGTTCATGGAACCCCTTCTGTACACTACACCCATGAGGGCTGGAGAAGCAGCTCTCCTGAGCACCTATGGAAAGGGTGCCTTCACTGAAGTCACAGATTCCCTATGGACATAAAAAGGCTTTATTTTTTATGTGTATGAGTGTATTGCCTGCATGTATGGAAGTGTCCCGTGTCATGCAATACATGAGGAGGTCAGAAGAGGGCATTGGATCCCCTGGAACTGGAGTTAGAATGATTGTTAGCTGCCATGTGGGTGCTGGGATTTGAACCCGGGTCTTCTGCAAGAGCAGTTAAGACTGCTCTTAACTGCTGAGCCATCTCTCCAGCTCCTACTTTTTATTTTTATTAAAACATTTAAAAAATATGGATGTGGTGGCGCATGCCTTTAATTCAAACATTCAGGAGGCAGACGCTAGTGGCTCCAGGTTCTGTCAAGCAAGCAAACGAAAAAAACAAAAACAACGCCCCCACTCATAAGAAAGCATTTTCTTTTTGAGAGGGTCTTGCTATGCAGTTCAGGTTGACTTGGAACTTGCAATCCTGCCTTGGCTTTCTGAATGCTGGATTACAGCTTTGGGCCACCACAGCTGGCACTGCAGATTACTTCGGGGGTGCATCTCAGTGTCCAGGCACTTATTTATGCTTCTTGGGGTTCTTATGAGGTTGGATTCATGACTTCCACCTTCTAAGGTTCAGGACTTTTAGAACCAGGGCCAATTCTCAAAAGGAAGGAAGGAAGGAAGGAAAAAAGAAATCCTTTCTCCTTTCCAAGCAGTTTGGGAAAGAATTGTATTTGCTCTGGCTTACATGTTTATACAAACCCTCCTGAGGAGTCTGAGCTAAGTGGAAAAAGAGAAAAACAGCCACAGGTCTCCTGGCAAATAGGAGGCTCTGCCCTCTCCAAGCTGGGGGAGAGAACCTGCAGAGGTCACACTGAGATCAAGGACAGAAAATATGTGGTACACCAGCTGCCACTCTGTCAATGCCCAGGGCAGACATGAGTAACTGATCACTGGAGACTACCTCAGAAAGTCTCTCAAACAGACCTCCAGGCAGCTGCTTCCTACTAGTCAAAACAAACTTCTTACTTCACTAATGGGGAAACTGAGGCTCAGAAGGCAAGAGTAACTGGATTAAGATCCTGTAGTTGGATCACATGGGTAGAGGGAACAGAACTCAGGATTCCCGAAGGTCAGCCTGGTGCTGTCTTCACCTTAGCCCACCTGTTTCACCAGAGCCTGTGGATGTCCTCAGATCAGGAGTTGCTGTTAACATGTGTTTAGACTTCTGCGCACTTTAAAAGGCCAGTTATTGGATCCTAGTCCCCACCAGGGCTCATGACTGCTCAACACTACCATAGGGCTCCAACCCCAGCTGGCCTACAGAGGAGACTGTGTGGATGGGGGGGAAGGACTACATTTAAAGCAGTCCATTTATTTTCAAAGGGCAAAGGCTTTCAAATACTTGCTGTAAGTTGGCATTAGGCATCTCCACAGTATCTGTCCACCAGAACAATCAGGATTTTGTTGCTTTAGGGAAGAATCTGTTATCATGACACAATACATGCAGTTCTAACACTGCCCACTAGATGGCAACAAAGACAAGTGTAAGGACTTTACAGCTTCAAAACACACCTGGCTTTCCAGGCAGATTCTATTACACATATTTAAAGTAATAGCATAAATATTTGTATGAATACCAATTATGTGTGCTTGCATGTCAATTTTTTTGAGATAGGATGTCACTATGTAGCCCTGGCTGGCCTGTATCTCCCTACGTAGACCCAGGCTAGCTTTGAACTCAAAGAGACCGACCTGCCCTTGCCTTCCAAGTGCTGGGATTAAAGGCATATGCCACCACACCTAGCTCACATATCAATTTAAATGAAACTAGCATAGAGAAATATATTAAAAACCACCCCTGGGTATCCCCATCTCATGTTAGTTGTCTCCCTGTGTCCTGTGCTCATGTTGCCCCCTTCCACGCCAGGGCAAGTTTAGTTTCTATGAGGCTGACTTTCAGGCTGTCCTGCTATGAAACCTTTCCCTGTCCCTTAACTACAGGGTGACCTCCAAAGTTCAGAGCCTGTATGTGGCTAAACCCCCATGGTCTCCAAAGAGGACACATCAGACTGGGAAGAAGGCTTAGAGGAGGCTCAGCATCCCCCCTGCCACCATGCCCACTTAGAGGGTGGGTTGTAGGAAGGACTGGGCATTGGGCCAATCCAGGGCCAGCAGCTTCCCTGGATGCCATGTGTGGTGAAACTCTGGGCACCTTCTTCAGCCTCTCAGCTGAACAATGGGGCACCTATGCCCACATCACAGTGTCTTCCTGAGGATGAGGAAAACAGACCTGGGCACACTCGCAGTGTTACTTACCTTTGCATGAAGTGTAAAACTCACCACTTACATTAACTGAAGAGTTTCTAGTTCCCTCACAGCTATTCACTTTTGTTTTTCTTTTATTCAAAATTTCTTTATGTGTATGAGTTGTTTTGCCTACATGTACATATGTGTACCACATGCATGCAATGCCTCTGGAGGCCAGAATGTTGGATTCCCTAGAACTGGAGTTATCTGCCATGCCCGGGCTGGGAACCAAACCTGGGTCCTCTGGAAGAGCAGCCAGAGCTCTTAATGATCAAGCCCCCACCTTTCAGCAATTCTTTTCTTGGGGGTGGGGGGTGGGGGTTAGATTGAACCCAGGGCCTTGCACATGCTGGGCAGACCTCTCTATAACTGAGCTACAAACTTAGGCCTTAATTTCTTTGAGACAATGTATTTACTAAGTTGCCTAGGCTGGCCTTGAACTCACAGCAACCCAGGCTGGCCTTAAATTCATTCTGTAGCCCAGGCAGGCCTTGAACCTGTGATCTTCCTGCCTTAGCCTTTGGAGTAGCTAGCATTATAGGTCTGTGCCATCAGTCCCAGCACTTTCACAGCTATTCTCTTTTGTCAAGAATGTATTAGCATTTACTACTTTATTTAAAAAAAATTTAAATCACATTTATTTGTGTGTGTATTTATGTGTGTGTATTTATGTATGTGGGCGTGTATGTGCATAGCACGCATGTGGAGGTCAGAGGACAACTTGTAGGAGCAGGTTTCTCACCTTCCACCATGTGGGTCCTGTCCTGGGGATTGAACTCAGGTTGTCAGGCCTGGCAGCCAGCACCTTCATCTGTAGACAGTTATTCTTAAAGAGGCTCTGCAAGTTTTGTCCCTTCTGGAGTTTAACACATTCAGACAAGAAGTACATAGTCTTGGTGGGCTATAAATGAGTGGAGAGGTTGTCTACAGATCACCTGTCACAGACATCAGTTCAGCAAGACATTCTAGCAGTGTTGCTGAGGGTATGGACTGAGTGATGTAACTGTTGGAGTTTAACTCAGAAATCCTAGGAACTACAGATAAATGCTCAATTTCACCCAAATTTAGACTGGAAATGGGAATATAGCAAATTGCTACCCTGGGGACCCATTCAAATTCGAGGGAAGACATTTGGAGCGCCGATTCCATGCTAAATAAATGTCACACATCACCTGTTCTGAAAAAGTACAGAACAGTGAATGCAAATTTTGCTCAAGGATATGTGGGCTCAAATTAAATTGAGTCAAACTTGCTTTGAGAAATATTTGAGATTATGCAATTCTATGGCAATAACTGGGGTACCCGTGAAGAGTCCCCCAGGGTTGGAGGGGGCAGTTCTACCAAGTGAGTGGCTCCATCCTCAACCTGATCTCTCTCCCTCGGCTGCAGATGGGATCCAGACAGGCAATCATCCACTAGGCCACTCAGACCCCATCTTTGGAATTTTGGGCCTGGACATGAGGGATTAAGGGAAGGAGAGGCGACTCAAGGGCCACTCTACTCATATACCCCTGATGGGCCCTAAATGTTTAAAGAATGAGTGGGCAAAAGCCCACTGAGAGGAGGAGGATGTGAAGAGCGAGAGGCCAGAGCCAGCATGCTGAGGGCTGTGGAGCAGTCCCCAGAGGCCAGGGGTACAGGAAGACTGTGGGGTGTCAGCCAGGGACCCCTGAACATTTACAAACTCCCTTTCCCCCAGGTGCCTCTGAGTGGGTTTCACCTGGGCACATGATACTGACCCAGTCAGTTTGGCGGCATGTAAGCCAGCCTGACTCCAGAGGGCCATTCCTGATGGTTCTGTGAAGGGGCTCTCCCTAGAGCAAGCAAGCACAGCAGACGAGGACCCAGGCTCCACCCATCCCTGTCTGGGACATGTCCTTTCTCCTGCCTGTCTGCATCTGTTGGAGGAGAGGGACAGGCCTCCTGGGCTCTGTGTTCTGAGAGAGAGAGAGAGTGTGCTGTGTCCTCCCTGCTGCAGCACCCACCTGTTCATGCCACACTCACCTGTTCAGACCCTGGCAGTAGCCAATGGTGGGGTTCTGCCAGGAGAAGGCCAACAGCACGCGACGGAGCCTATCAGGGAAGCTGGAAGTGGGACAGGTGAAGTACTTGTTGGTGGGGAAGGTCCGGTTGAGGTCCAGCTCAATCTGACGGGCGGCAGGATGTTCACAGGCCTGGCCCCGTGCCAGGAGTTCTCGGTAGCACCCTGGAGAGTGCAGGTGCCGGACACGGCGGTGGACCAGCCACCTCCAGACACGTGGACGGTGCTCTCGAGGCACGCCTGCCCGTAGCAGCTGCTTGAGCTCAGCTGAGGGCATGAGCTCACCCAGGGCAGCCCAGCGCTCCCGCAGTGGCCGCTCCACAGCCTCGAGGGTCAGCAGATGGTGGGAGCGCACCTCCAGGGCCTGGATCTTGGCCAGCAACTTCAGGTCTTCCACCTCATAATCTGGCACCGTCAGGAAGCCATAATCATCATACTCGCTGCTGGCAAAAGGCCACATTAGCAATGGAAAGCAAAGCCTTCCCTAACTGGGCTTCTGCCTTAGCTGCACCAAGGGGTAGCAGAGCAGTCTTGATTACTCCAGGCTGCTGCCTCAATTTGCTTGTCTGTACAATGGGTACAACTGTTCTGCCTCCTATGAAGGATATCTCCTATGGTAAACTAGAAGAGCCTGTGTGCAGTCAGGACAGATACACCAAGGGGTCCTGCATTACCATGTGGAGCCCTGCTGACTACAGCCAGCACTCTCACAGATGGATGGGAACAGAACATCAATAGGCAGAGGCATTGAGCGCAGACTCCTTCCAGGTGCCATTCATTTACTTGCCCCATTGTGGCTCCTGTATGCACCATCTCAGTCAGTCACCCACATGACATAGAGGATGAGTATGAGGTTCAGAAAAGCAAAGAAACATGTTTAGGGTCACACAGCAAGAAAACCAGGTCTGGTCCCAAAGCTCGAGCTCCTGCCAGTGGCCCCCAGGGGCCTTCAGGCACAGCCACTAGCCCTTCTTAATATTTAACTGGCTATCTGCTGTGCTTGGTAAGGGTGTTGCTGGAGCAGGCAGCTTAGGTAGTGATGAGCATGGTGCACTTTGTGGACTCAGGGGGCAAAGGAGCTGCCTCTTCTGAGCCGCCCCCCGCCCCAAGCTGGCACTGCCTGAGCCTGGGAGGCCATAGCTGTATGGTGTTGGCACTTGCGGTCAGCAGTCATGCTGACAGTCTGTCCCCGGCTGCTCACTGGGCTCACCTGATAGGGCTCAGCTCCACGCTGTCAGATGCCTCTCCTGCTTCCCACTGCAGTGCCTCCTGGATCAGCTGCTGCAGCAGCTCAGAAAAATCCCCAGCCTCAGTCCCCACAGCCTCCTGCAGCCTCCGCAGCCCAGACAGGTGCTTGCTTTCCACCTGGCAGTTCCTGGCTTGGAGGTAGGCACACTACAGGAGGGAATGGAGGGGCTGGTTAGGCCACCTGGCTGCTCAGGTGACCAGAGTCCTGAGCAGCTCTGAGCCTTTCCAACACCCCTACCCTCATCTCCTGGACCTGCATATAGGGAAAGGAGACAGTGATTTACAGCAAAGAAGGTAAGAGAGAGCCAGGATGAAAGAGGGAGCTGGGCTCTGAAGGAGGGGAGGGCAGGGTCAGCATAGGCTCACACTCCTAGTTTAATTCTAGTTCAGCCATGACAAGCTGTGTAGCCTGTGGCAAGTTAGTACACTTGGCAGTTAACTCTGCCTTAGTTTCTTTATTTGTAAAATAGGGGTAAGCAGTCTCCTTAAGATTCTGGAAAATATTGGTGAGCTGATGTGTGTAAAGCCCTACCAGGCACTGGGCACAGAGCCAGCTCTCTGCAGGTGGTGGCTGGGAGGAGTCTGTCTGAACACTCTTGGCACAGGGCCAGCTCTCTGCAGGTGGTGACTGGGAGGACACTGCCCAGGCACTGTCTGCCACACCCAGTGCATTCTTTCATTCCTCTGGCTTCTGGGCACCCTCTTCTGTAGCCATGGATATCCTGTTATACCTCTCCCCTTTCAGTGCAGAAGCCAGATCTGGCTGTGTGAGTCAGGTTTTCTGTCCCTGTGAGGTGGATGGTGAAAATCTGCCTCGACTGCTGGGCCACCCCAGCTCCTATGTTAGCCTCAGAGTGAAGGCTGCAACTGCTGTGGTCCTGCCCAGGACCACATGCCAATTCCAGCCCTCGAGGGAGCCTGCGGCCTCTCATGGACTTTTATGTGTCCTGTTCCTGACACCTCAGGGATTTCTGCTACAGACTCCAAACTGTCCCCTCTGCCAAGCCTACCCTCCATAAAACAGTCACAGTTGTCCCCTCAAATCAGTTTGCCCCAAGACCCTTCAATTTAATCCCCCACCTAACCCTTGTGCTCTGTTTCCTCTAGGTAAGCTTACAGACGGCCACCAAGCCTCACATTGCAGCCCCCCAACCAGCTACCTGCCTCTTCTAGAAGACTTTTCCGTACTTTTTTTGTCTGGATGATGCTGACTGGTCTTAGCCTCAACTCCGAGGACACCTCCCCCAGGAAGCCAATCTTGACTTCTGACCTGGCACTGCTCCAGTATATCTCCTCCCTCACTAGTCTGTGTGTTCTTTGGGGTACAGACCAGGCTCACTGGTGTCCATGTTCCTCCCTTGTAGCTACCAGTTAATCCTGAGCAGGAGATGGAGAAGAAGGAAAGGAAGGAGTTGGGGGACTGAGGGGTTGGGAGGTAGGGGTAGGGTAGCTCAGGGCAGGGAGGGGGTGGAGTGTGGCCACCAGTCCCTGGTACCTTGGTCAGCAGGGCTTTCTCCTTCTCAGCCACCTTCCTCCAGATCTTGGTGACTTGGTGGATCTCAGAGTTGAGGAAGCGATTCTGGGTTCGATATGCTTCCATGTCATCCTGGAAGGGAGAGCAAGACTGGTCAGCAGTGGCACTGCAAACACCCTGATCCTGCGAAGTCACCCAAAGAAGCCGAAAACGCTTCCTTCCTTGAGACATTCCCCCAAAATGGCATAGAAAGCAAGTTTGAAAGAAAATGGCCCAGCCTCCATTCTGTCTCCCAGCATGATGTCGTCCCCCATCTCCCTCATCCTGATAGGGTCTCATGTAGCCTAGGTTGGTCTCAAACTCATATCATAGCTGAGGATGACTCTGAACTCCAGATTCCAAGGTGTATGCCACCACCCTTGGCTCCCCTTAACTATTCTTAGACAAGGTCTCACTATGTGTCCCAGGCTGCCCTCTAACTCATGATCTTCCTGTTTCAGCCTCTAGAATAGTTGGGAATCACAGGCCTATGCCATCATGCTGGGCTCTAATAATCACCTTTTACTAACTGGTAACTACTCTCTGGGGAAATTTCCTAGAGCTTACTCAAAGTCCTTTTCTTTTTGTTGTTTTTAAATTTGAGCCCTGAGTGTTTTAGTTGGTTTTTGAGTATGAATCTTGCCGTGATGAACAGTTTTGAGCCTGGAGATTCCCCACACCCTACTCCCCAACACTCAGATCTGGGAGGGACAGCTTGCTGCTGGAGCAGATGAGAAGCTGGGCCAGCCACAGGAAGGTTTGTGCAGAGCCAAGAAGCTACATTCTACTGGGAAGAGCATTCTGGAAGCCATTCAGACACACATCACCCACTCACACTCTAACGGTTTCAAGGTATTTACAGTGGGAATTCCAGCCCTTCCTTTCCTGCCTGGGAACATATCTTGGGCTGTGGGTACAGGGAGGGCTCCCATTAGTCACTGTGTGCAGAGGGGATGCAAGACAGCTGCCACAGCCTGCTCCTCTAGTCTGCAGGGCGCTTGCTGCCACTGCTCATGGGGGTTCTTCCTCAGTGCCTGGAAAGAGCCACAAGCATCTAGGCAAGGGAATAAAGTGTCTGCCAGTCCCTTAGTCCCAGCATGTGTTGGGTCTAGGGGTAAGTGTAAAGTACCATTCAGTCCCAATTTAGATAAGGAAACAAGGCCCTAGAAGGTGAGCTCCTTGATGACACAGCTGGTGTGGAAAAGCCAGGATCCACCCTGGGGTGTTCAGCTCACAGCAGGTGCTCAGCAAACACCACTGACTGCCTCAGAGCACACCCACTCCCTGTACCATTCCTTCCTCACACCAGGCTGAGCACAGGCACTTCCCAGGCTTTGAGAATATGGATTTGTCATGTAGGGGGCCTGCTTCCTGGTTACAGGGAGGCCTGGAGGTGCCCAGGCAGGGAGGTGGGTGTGAGCAACCTTTGGGGCATAGTGGTGACTGAGCAGCACCCAATCAGCTCGGTGCCCTACCTTGGGTGTTCTCCTTGGCTCAGCACTGTAGGGAGGAAAAAGAGAGACCTCAGAGAAGAGAAGAGAAGCCACATGAAAGTCACCCACAGAGCAAAAGGTAACCATGTAGGAGAAGGGTCCAGGAGAGGACAGCCTGCTGTGGCCACCCACACAGGATCAGACACCATGGCGACCACTTACAGACAAGGCTCTGTGATCATTTGGGGAAATCTGCATCTACTGCAGGACCTATCCTCCCCCTCATGGCTTAGCTGTGCCTGCCAAGATGGTGCAGGCTAGACTTCCCAATCTTTCTAGCTCTGATTGCCCTCCAACCCCCGAGATAGGGCTTTATGTAGTCAGGCTGCCCTCAAACGCTCTGTGCCAAGGGTGACCTTGAGTTCCTAATTTTCCTGCCTCTACTTCCTTCCCAAATACTAGGATTACAAGCCTGTGCTACCACACTAGGCTTTTGAAACTCAAGAGTCAATGAGCCTATTCTTTTTTTTTTTGGTCTTTTTGAGACAGGGTCTCTCTGTAGCCCCAGCTGACCTGGAATTCGCTATGTAGACCAGGCTGGTCTTGAACTCACAGAGAGCCACCTGCCTCTGCCCCACAAATGTGCCACCATGCCCATCTAATAAGCCCATTCTTGAAATGACAGTATCAAAGACAAGAGGGTCTTTCCCTTAAGTTGTGTCCTGTCTCAGGCAAGCTGGAAGCTTGAGTACTCCCTGTGGCCAAATTTAATAGTGATAGGCCTTCTGAGAGCTATCACCTAGGACACACCTAGTCCACGCAGTTCTCTAAAGCCCTGGATATTCGCTGAGCATGATCTGCAAGCTTAAGATCACTAGAGATAAGTCTCTTCATAATGGGCCTTGCTGATAAGTGACATTCCTAAAGATGTACCTGAGGGACACACTTGGGTGCCTAGGGGAGGCCAGAGTAATGAGTGGCTCTTGGTGCTCTGGAGCCATTCAGCTGATCTGTGTCTCAGACCCTGTGCTCCTCTGCTGGGTCTGGAACAGTGGACACCTGATGGGGTGGGGAGGCCCCCCAGCAGGTGCAGGGCAGCAGGAGGCAGCTGGTGCGTGCAAAGCCCACAGCTTTCTAGCAGGTTGCACCTGCGCTTCAAAGGCTTGGTTTTGTTTGATCCCTAGAGTCTCTGACTTCAGTCTCATAAGGAATTCCATGCCTGGCTGGTTCTGTGGGCTTTCAGTTTTTGCTGTCAGGGAAAGCAGTGTAGGTCTCAAGTTCCCTTCCTTTATCTTTCCAAGAGTTGTGCAGCCTCGGGAATGGTTAGGCTACTTCCCACAGAGGGGAGAGAACTTGCCCAAAGTCATACAGCTAGCAAGGCAAAGAGCCAGGACTTAACCCCAGGACCAGCTCACTCTGCAGAGCAGGGACTCAACCCCAGGGCCAGCTCACTCTGCAGAGCCGGGACTCAACCCTAGGGCCAGCTCACTCTGCAGAGCCGGGACTCAACCCTAGGGCCAGCTCACTCTGCAGAGCCGGGACTCAACCCTAGGGCTGGCTCATTTCACAGTGCCGACAGTGGCTGTAGCTCAACTTGCCACTGTTTCTTTCAGAAGCTTTTTTCTTTTCTTTCTCTATCTCCCACCACCCAGCAGTTCTTTGGTTTTGGGGGTGGGGGTCCTAATATCATACATATGTAAGAACGTGGGTGTCCACGAGGCGGTATTTGGAGCAAAACTGGCCCTGGTTCTGCGTGCTGTCTTTAGGAACAGTGAGGGCTAAAAGTACCTATCCCCAGCCTCAGGTCTCCTGGTGCTGGGGTAGCTCCTATCACAACCTTCACAGAGAAGCCTGTGGTCCACAGTAGGCATCACACCTCAAATGAAGTCCCCAACCCTCTGCCATGGCTGGTCTCTTTGGGCTATGGTAGCCTGAGGTGAAAGATGAGGACAGAGGAGGGGGAGGGAAGCAGATTGGGGCACTGAAGGTAGCAGGACCTAGAATAGGTAAAGAGGCCAGGAGGTGCAGAGCAGGTGGACCAGTCATCAGACCTGAGTCCCAGCCCTGCTCCCTACCTCAGAGCTGGCTCTGGGCAAGCATCCTCACTCCCAGCTGCAAAGAAGGAAACCTCCATCTGTGAGTCACTGGAGGGCTGGTACAAGGGTGCCACGAGCAGATGCAGTAAACACTGGAGACAGTGCTGGCACATGGGGAACCCTTAGTGATGAGGGTTCTTATCTATGGCTCTTATCTTGAGTCAGCCACAGCCAGCATTAGGCACCTATACTGCATGCTAAACTGCAGCTGGGGGACAGCCTGGACACTTTGGGGACCCTGGGCAATAGAATGGCACTGAAGAAGGCTGTCTGGGCCAGGCTCCAGGCTGGGATATTCCTGGGCTTTTGCAGCTCCCAAGTGATAAGCTAGGAACAAGTGTTTTTCAGTGGCCCTGCATAGCACCAAACATCGAACTGCATTGGGCCTTCAGAAAGTGAGAGAAAAGAAATTTCCTCTTAATACCTACTTCCAGTTCAGATATTGCAGGATGAGGGGTGACACTTCTGCCTCACCTAGAAAACCATTCCTAGTGCCCTCCCCAGGTCTCAGGAAAGCTTGCTGGGCAGAGAGGAGGCCTACCTTCAGGTGCTCTATCATCTCCTGCTGGCTCAGGAAGTTGCCATCGGAGGTGTCAGGAGGCTGGCCAGGGGACTGTGCAAGGTCCTCCGTGAGTTTCTCTGAGAGCTTGCAGATGACCTGCTGCTTGGCCTGGTTCTTGTCCATGAGCAATTGCGTGTGCTGCTGCAGTGCCTGCACCTGCTGCTCCCGCAGGCCGGCCTCGTGCACCAGGCGCACCCGCTCCTGCTCCAGGGCCTCCACCTGCCGACTCAGCTCTGCAATCTGACGTACTTTATGCCGCACCAGCTCCAGCCGATCCTTGTCTTCAGCTGCAGCCAGGTATGCACTGGATGCCCGCTTCTCCTGCTGGGCAGCCTCCAGAGCCTTGTGCAGGATTAGCACCAGCTCCTGAGTGGGAGGGGAGACAGCCATGAGTGCCGCGAAGGCCGGGCAGCTACCAGAGGGAGCACATGCTATCGCCGGACCTCACAAACTCAATACTCCTTTCTGCTTTCTTGGTCCGACAAGAGTGTTAGAGGGCTAGAGGGGCACAGGCTACCCAGCCCGAAACACTTCCCAGCAAGTACTGGGTACCTGGTACCAAGTGACTCCAGAGACGTGGGCACTAGAGACCACTAGATACTTGCTCCATGGGTAGTCTTTTCTTCTGATTGGGAAGCGGCTGGAAGAGAGCAGCTACCCTAGATCCACAAGCTGAAGTTCACACTGAGGATGAGCTGCCTAGGTTCCCCTAGCTCAGAGCTGCCCACTGCTGTCCAGGTTCCTCAGTGCAAAAGAGACAAGAAACTCTGAACTTGCTCTAGGCCACAGCACTGAGGCTTCTCTGTTACAGGAGCTGAATCTATACTCTGACTTATACATGTTCATTTGAGAGATGAAGAAATTGAGGCCCAGGAGAGCAGAGTTTGGTCCCAAAGCATGCAGACCCCAAAGCCTGAGCTTAGTCATAAAGTTGGGGTGGTAGCTAAATGGCACACGGGCATCGCCCTTTCCTCTCACTCCCGAGGCAGGCATCACTAGTTACTCTGATGTCCCTTCTTGCAATGGTATTTGAGACTCAGAATCTTTCTCAAAATGGTATATGATGGTTAATCTTGATTGTTAACTTGATGGGACTTAGAATCACCATGGAAACAAACCTCTAGGTATGTCTGTGAGAGTTTCTAGTCTGGGTTAAATATGGTGGGCAGTGTCATTCCATGGGCTGGGGTCCTGGCCTGAATAAAAAGGAGAAAGTGAGCTCAGCACCAGCATTCATCTCTCTCTACTTCCTGACTGTGGAGGCAACGTGACCAGCCCCACCTCAAGCTCCTGCTGCCGTGACCTCCCTGCCACAATGGACCTTGAACAATGACTCAAACCCTTCCTTCTTTAAGTTGCTTCTGTGGGTATTTGTCACAGCAACCAGAAAAGTAACAAAAAAACAGCGTCCAAACAGCCACTTCCAGTCAAGCTGAGACAGCATTAGAGAAATACAGGGGCACTCCCCAGGCAAGCTCAACATCTTTGTGCCAAACCTTCAGCCCAGCAATGACAAACGATGCCTTCAAGGCCAGTACAAGGAAGTGCTAGACAGCTCAGAAACAGCACCAGCTGTCCTCCTCTGCAGGGGCAGCTGGTCATGTAGAAACTCCAGGATGTAGGGCTCCTTGTGCCTGAGGACTCTAACCTCCCTAGGACTCACCTGTCCTGCCCAAAGCAGGGAATACATTCATCCAGAGCCAGGATTAGAATTCTGGAAGCCACACAGCCCAGCAGCCAGGTACTGGGAGGCCACTAGCGTACTTGGAATACATGTTTTCTTAGTGACACATCAACTGTACTCATATAAAGCATTTCAGTAAGTGCATCAGCTTTATGAGGTTATTTACCTAGAATGTTTCCATTTTGGAAGAGAACTGTCAGAAATCATGACTGAGGAGTTGATGGCAAGATGGAACTAGCATGAGTCTTCTGAAACCTTGGGTCTCTGACCATTCCTCCTCTAGCTCTTCAGTTTTCTAAGACGCCGGCCTCAAACTTGGGATGACCTCAAACTCATGATCTTCCTGCCTCTGGTTCCCAAGTGCTGGAAGTAACTCTGTACCACCATGCCAGGTTCCTTCTCTGGCTCTTTTCTACCCACCTACCCATCCATTCACCCAACTTTCTCAAGCCTGTGCCCAGTGCTATGGCTCAGAGAGGGATGGGTCATGTCCCCACCTCCAAAGACTGCAAAGACTGGTGAGGGTGAAGATGAAGCACTGCTGGTGGAATGGTTTGCTATGAGAGAGAAGCAAAGGGGTTTGTTGGGGTATAAGGCTGGGGCTGGCAGGGCTGGAGCAGAGGCCGGGGAAGGACTATACATTCAACAGGACAGCAAAGCAATTCAAACAGAGCCATGAAGGACGAGGGTCAGAGATCATCAAGCAGTAGGCAGGAGGAGAGGGTGCGGAAGCCTTTGCAGGCTAGACCCCTGAGGGAAGCTGGCAGATAGCCTGAGCAGAGGCTGGTGAACTGAAAGAGCATAATCAGAGTCCTCGGGCCCTTGGGTGTGGCAGGACAGTGGGGACCTGACTGCACACCAGGTCACTATGTCTGGAATCTCCAGAATGGAGAAACAGTTTCCCTGGGTTCTGCTAAGATTAACTAACATTCCTGTGGTTCCAGGGTCTGGCTGAGACCTGGAGATAGTCCGGGTCATTGTTGGGTAAAACAAACACAGATATGGCTGACTCATCTGGACTGGAAGCAAGTGGGCATCTTCCTCTGTGTCAGAGGGTCTACTAGAAGTGAGCTCATTGTAACCAGCGGTCTATTCCTTCCCCCACTTGACTCTCAACATCTCTAACCAGGTGACCAGCCAGAAGGCTCTCTGCCCCCCAAACCCTGTACCAGAAGGCAGGCTTGGAAGAAAGGAGCTGGAGAGACAAGGTAGCCTCCTAAGACCTGTAATGGGAGGCTTAAGGATGTTGAAAACCTGGAGGTGATCAAGACCCTGTGGATCTTCTGCCCAGCAGCAGTGTTGTTCCCTGGAGACTTAAGCCCCAGAGAAGAGTGGAAAGTAAAGGAGCCAGTGGGCTGGAGCTGAGACCCCCAACTCCACATTCAGGAGCCCTGGTGTCTCCATGCTGCCAGTACATGGGTCCTGGGGCTGAGTGCTTCTTTTAATCTCTCTTTAAAATGGGAATAGCCTACTAGCATGACTTCATTATTCAAGATATCCAAGAGCCAGGAGTGGTGGCACATGCCTGCGACCCCAGCATTTGGAAAATGGAGGCTAGAGGATCAGAGATTCAAGGCGAGCTTAAGCTACACAGTGAGACCCTCTCTCAAACCAACCAACCCCAATAAGTAGGAACAATTCAAGTATTTGCCAGTGGATGCATATGCAAACAAAATACATTATGTAAATACAAGGGAATAAATAATATGCGGTCTTAAAAAGAAGGAAATTTGGGGCTACAGAGATGGCTCAGAGGTTGAGCACTGACTGCTCTTGCAGAGGGCCCATGTTTGATTCTCAGCACCCACATGGCAGCTAACAACCATCCGTAACTCCAGTTCCAGGGGATCCAACACCTTTTTCTGACCTCCTTAGGCATTGCATGGCACGGTGTACTTACATACATGCAGGCAATATACTTGTACACATAAAATAAAAATAATAAATAATAAAATAAAAGGGACTCATAATTTTAAAAAAGGAGATTTGGCATATTCTATCACATGGATAAACCTTTTTTTTTTTTTTTTTTTTTTTTTTTTGTAAAGAGCCAGATAGTAAATAATTCAGGATTGTAGAACAGTCACTGCCGGAACTACTTAATTCTGCTGTTGTTGAACTAAAACAGTCATAAGTAATATGTGAACATGTACACCAATAAACTGTATTTTCTGGTGCGCCACCACGCCTGGCCTAAACCTTTTTAATTTAAAATTTTTAAAAATTTTATTTACTGTTTTTACGTGTGTGTGTGTGTGTGTGTGTGTGTGTGTGTGTGTGTGTATACACAAGTTATGTCCCATGTGTGGCGGTCAGGGGACAACTGTGGGAGTTGGTTCTCTCCTTCTGTCATGTGGGCCCTGAGGTTTAAACCCAGGTAGACTTGGTAGCAAGCACCTTTACCTACTGAGCCATCCTGCCAGCCCTGGATGAATCTTTGAGGGTGATATACTAAGTGGAACTATCCAGTCACAAAAATGACAGAGACTGTGCTGTTCTACTGGAAAAGGTAACTAGACTAGTCAAACTCACAGAGACAAGAGTACAGTGTGGTCCCCAGGGCTGGGGAATGGGAGTGGGAATTGTTAAATGGCTCAGGTTTTCACTTTGCAAGAGGAAGAAGTTTGGGAGATATAATAATGTCAACATACGTAACACTATAGATCTGAACACTTAAAAATGGATCAATGATGCCATATGTTGGCACCCAACCATCATCTCAGCATTTGAGAAGCACAGGCAGGAGGACCACAAAAACAAAAGAAAAACCACAAAATAATTACAATTTTTAAAAAAATTAATTTTATTTTTGGTTGTGAGCCTAAGCCTTTAATGGCTGTGCCAGCTCTCCAGCCCTATTTGTTTTATTTTTAATTTATATGTATGGATGTTTTGCCTGTGTGTATGTAAGTGCACCCAAGTGTGCAATGCCTGTGGAGGTCAGAAGAGGGCAATGAATTCCCTAGAACTGGAATTGCAGACAGTTGCGAGGTGCCATGTGGATGCAGGGAACTAACTTGGGTCCTCTGCAAGAGCAGTCAGTACTCTTAACCACTGAGCCATTTTCTGGCCCTCCTAAAAGTTATTTTATGTTTTTTGCCAGGTTATTTTTGGTGGTGCTGGGTGTAGAGCCCAGGGTCTTCTGTATGCAAGACAAGCACTAAGCCATTGAGTCACATCCTCAGTCCTGTTATGTTTCTTTCTACAGTTAAATTGTTCAAAGTGAGAGGGTACCAAAAGATGTAGTAATCAAATATTTTAATGTAATTTTTTTTTTTTGAGTCACCAGATGTGGGTGTTGGGAACTAAACTCTGGTTCTCTGCAAGAGCAGTAAGAGATTTTAAACTGCTGAACTATTTCTCCATTCAAAATTGAGACTGTTTTCTTTTCTTCCCTTTTCTTTTTAGAGAAGGTCCTACTGATACAGTCCTGGCTGACCTAGAACTTGCTATGAAGACCAGTCTGGCCTCCAACTCATGGAGATTCACCTCATGTAGATCCACCTTCCTCTGCCTCCTGAGTGCTAGGACTAAAGACATGTGCCATCAAATATAGCTTAATGTTAATTAAACAAAATATGTATTAATTAAAATTAAATTTATATTTTAATTTTTTGATTTATTTATTTTTATTTAATGTATATGAGTGTTTTGCTTCCATGTATGTAAGTGCACTTGTGTC